CACATTTTCTTTCCATTATTTGACGTGCCTTTTTGATTTATTCTATATTTTATTTTTTATCGTTTTATTAAAAAAAAATACAATACATATACAATTGTAATATAATTATACGTATATATATATATATATATTTAATTATACACATATGTATAATTTAAAAAAATACTCCGATACAAACTTCGATAAAAAGTCTGATACAATTTTCGTTCATGTTTGATCCACAAAATACATTTCTACTAAAAATCTGAATCTATTTGAATGTATTTTTGTAAAATTTGTTCACAAGAATGGTAAATTGTAAAAAATATCGGCAGTCTAATTTTTAAAACATGTAATAATGTAGCACTGATCTTGCATAATTATAAATTCGCGATTGATTAAAGAAACACGATCCTCCGTTTCATTTCTAAGTAAATAAGCTTCGGAATATCTAAATCAATACACGTTTAATTATATGATTTCATAAAAGCGTTTTTCGGTCGTTCATTAATGGTTATTATAATTACATTCGACCGTACAAAAGTCCGCCCCGATCGTCGCATTTCATTAGACAGACCGTCTTATCGTGGAAATCGGTAAGATTGTCCGTTTCTGTAGAATCTCTATTCAACGGAGACGTTAAGATCAAGTTCCCGACGAGCGACGCGATTAAATGAAGCTCTGTCTCATTAAGTCGATGCTGGATACCACCGCGATTATAGCACAGTTCATTCCCCATCGATCGGCATTATAATTTCGAGATGAATAATTGATGTTCCACAGCTCTCCGAGCGTATAAATCCCTCGAAATACTGAATAATAAACACAGTATTATGTTTAACACGAGGAGACAGCGAGCCGAACCGAATTATTTCAAGGTATTTTATCGAACCGCAGATTGTTAATTGATATAAATCGCCTTCTTGCTGTTGAATTTTCAATGGACATTACCGATTCGTTGGATACGTTCTAAATGTTTTGTAAAATTTAGCAGAAGAAACCGAATTAAAAAAGTTTCAAATTTTTTCTTTAAGATAAATGTTTTATTTTCTTCGTTTCTCTTTTTATATCCTCCGTAACCTGATGCGCGATTTCATACCAAAAAGTCAAAAACTCGTTCGTGGTTAAAGGGTTAACAGCTTTAACAAATCACTAGACAACGGATTTTACGTATTTATGATAAAAATATGTCGGTAAAATTTGAGTCAGTACAGAGATGATATCTCGATAGTCAAATATCTAAATTTTTCACGTTTGTTGTTGCATAATAATCCGCAATTTATAAATCACAGAGTTCTTAAATTTATGCGATGTGTTTGCAGTTTAGCATTTTCATCTAGCCATTTTGATTACAGACGCGAGAAATTCATAATCTACCGATAACAAACAAATGAATACTCTGATTTCCATCGAAGTTGTATTGCGTGTTAAACGTGTTTCGGTCGAAATACTTTGCAGCTGGAATTAAGCTGGATTATTACGGCAGCCATAAGTTCTCGATGCACCGACTTCTTCTCGTTAGGCGGAGAACGAAGGTGGAACACGCACCCTCGAAGAACCGGCGTTTAATCGATGATAGGGCGTGGACTATTATTTCGTGAAGTCGCTGGTACTAATTGGTCGTGGTGCGCGCGTCATGAAGCAATTAGGGGAGGGGTGTCGGGAAAGGGTAGAAACTTTGGTCACGGTCAATAAGTCCCCGTACCAACAGAGCCACCGGCCGTTTCGTATGGCTGCTTGTACCGGTCGAAAGCAACCGGTGGGATTTCTGTGGAACCCACAGCGGAAAATTTCGGCCTCCGTTCCGGAAATTGGGGTGCGGCCCTGGCCAGTGCCGCGAACACTTCGGAGACCTTGCCGTTTAGCATCCGGGTCTCGTTCAGATCGAGATTATATGGGTTTATTCGCGGCTAATTGGTTGGCGAAGGGTGAAATGTGTCCTTGGGGGTGAAATTCGGTGTTCCACTGAAAGAGCTGGCATCTATTTTATGAAATTTTGTATTCAATTTTATTCATACAAAGTTTTCTACATTATTGGATGAGTTGCAAGGTACAAGTACCTATTATGAAACATTGCCCGATTGCGACCTGTGTCCCCTTCTTGAAACAATAGTACACATATTTTTGAAACATTGAAAGTTGTATGTTTTGGTTTGTAAGTTAATTATTATACTAACACCTGTGTTAAGTTAATCAATTTATTTTGATGTTCATTTTTATATTTCTGATGAATTCGTTTCTTAGGATTGAAAAATTACACTATTTGTGCGTGTCACGTTGATTTCATTATTTCAAGATAATGCGAGAGAATAAATTATAAATTGGAGGAATTTAGTAACAATTTCTTACTTGTAAGAAATATTTTTAGTTACTTTCCAACAATTTATTTGATATGAAATTCTTTTATAGTTTATTTGATAATGAATTCTTTCATGATGCATTGTCGGATAAAATTGAGTAATTGACTAACAATTAGGATTTATATTTATTAAAATTCCTTAATGGTTTATCTAGTATGAATTATTTCAGGACATATATTTTCATATAAAATGGAGAAATTGAGTAACAATTTGGAATTATATTACTAAAAATTCTGTAGTCTCGTTTATTCTGTTTGAAAAAGGACAAGCTTTATTTACAATCGTTCTTTCGATAAGTGAATTTCGTTTCCATTGATTGACTTTCGAAGGAAAGTCGCTCCGAGCGGCAGGAATTTCATTTCACGTCGAAAACTCGTTATACTCTTCCTCAGCATCGACAGTATCGATTGTATCTTCTCCTCGAGAACGCTTCGAAAACAAAAACCGAGGTCCCCGACCTGTGCCCCGGGGTGATCGATTAGCGAAAGCCGCGATGTTAACTTTTCAGAGAGGAAATCCGGTCTGTGACTCACCCCCTGCACGTTTTCCTCACTGTATATCCTACACTTGTTCTGTGAAACGAGCGGCGTCCACGCTAGAACTAATTCCTTATCGCTCATTCCGTTAATAACGTTAAATCTGCCTTCTTTCTTCTGTTTTGATAAATCGTGAATAAATCTGCGGGTCCCGAGTCTCTGTAAAAAAAAATGTTTTCTGTTCCTCTTTTACAAGTTCAAGATGAAACCTTTTCACATTAACCAATTATTAATAACAATTCGTGCAAAAGTAGCCACAAATTTTAATTGCTGAACTCAATACTGTTTTCTTTTGTTTATTTATCTAATAATTTAATTAGACTATTCTCCACAGTTAAAAGATTCTTTATAATACTTATAGAAATGCTATTCATGAATTATTACCTCATAAATTATTATTTCGTAAGTTATTACTCCATAAACTATTACTTCATAAACTACTGCTTTGTAAAATACTACTCCATTAATTACTACTTTAAAATGTACTTATGAAGTGTGACTTTATTAATTACTACATAAAATATTATTTCATTAATTGCTACTTCATAAAATACTACTTTATAAAAAGCTACTATACTTTACAAATTACTGCTTCATTAATATTACCGTTCAATAAAGTACTACATTGTAAACTATGATTTCATAAAATTGTTTTAATAAGCCGGATATTTATTATGAAGCGACGAAGGTCTCCCACTTGGTATTCAAAATCAGTGAGCGCATTCTCCAAAAGAAAGTCGTGTCGACAATAACGAAAGGCACATGCATCGGCGTACAAATATTTAATTATCAGCGATGTTACTAACTTCGATCGCGTCTTCGAAACAAAGACAATAGCAATCGTATGTAACAGCTCCGACAGAAATTGTCTAAAGACCGGGGAACACCGTTAATTAGTGCTTCGTATTCCCGGAGTCGACTATGGGAGCCTCTGTTTCCAGAAGCTCGGGTAACGCGACAGAGCTCGCATTCCAATCGGCGAAAGCGCAGGTACACGGATCATTAACTACCCTAACTTTCGGCTAAACTGACGAGATCAATTCTATATTAATTTTGACAATAATTCGCGTTACATACGGAGATTTTAGATAATATTAAATTCAGATGCCAGAGTTGTACTGTGAAGCATCAAAACGTATTTGAAACTATAGTAGATATTAGCACAAATTAGGTTACAGTTGTGTATCGTTTAATGGGAATACGTTTGATAAAAATATTACACGATAACAGATGTCGCATCGTACAATGTTTACCGATGGTTAAATGTGGTAGATACTTCCATTTAAACAAAGACTTTCGATCGTTTTAATATTTCTTTAAAAAGCATACAAAACTATTAACAGTCTATCAAAGATCTTTGTTAATAATCTTGTTCAATACGATGAACTTCGATGCGATGCATCGTAAATTCTATAAATTGTCCTTAATTGACGCTCAGATTGTATACGAAGATGGATAATTTGAGGATGTACGATTATTCGAGCCTTGCGGCTCGTTTTTATAGTTATCGATTATTTAATTTTCCAAACTGAGCGTCAATTAGGGAGAATTTACTGTATATTTATGATGCAAGGGAGACATCATTTTGTATGCTTAGCTAGTTCCATTATTTATTTACTCTCTCGTTCCTGATTAAAATTAACTCGTAAAGCACGTCATTTCAGAGCGCAATAAGTTAAAGATACGTCGATAAACAGGGAAACGCCTATCTGTTAAGAGGTCATTAAGTATGAAATGCATACTCCAATCTCTACAATTTAACTACGAAATCTATGCATGTCGCATTTAATGACCCAATACGCAAGGGGCGTTTTCACCCTGAAGGGAAACGAATTTCGACCGATGATAAATGTAGCTCGAAACTTCTTTCAAGGTGCCCAACAAACTTGCAAAGTTTATAAAAGAAATCGGAATTTTTCGGGTCACTTTGTAACATGTTCTATCTTATATCATGATCTATTATAATCGAGATTCCACTGTAAGCTCGTAACGAATTGAGAAACAGAAACGAAGGTGGACACTTCGAACCGTGAAGCGTAAAGATTCGAGATCGAGATGAAGTTTCGATCGTTGCAAGAAGCAAAGACACGGAGATACTAATACGATTCTCGATGATGGTCGGCAGGTATGCGAGGAGCAGAAGTGCCAGGAGGAGGTCTTTCCCCTCTCGATGAACTACGTCGACAGGTTCCTCTCGATCTGCCCGATCAGGAAGTCGCAGCTGCAGTTGCTGGGAACCGCCTGCCTGCTTCTCGCCTCGAAGCTGCGAGAATCAGCGCCTCTCTCCGCTGAACTCCTCGTCTACCACACGGACAACTCCATCACCCTGGATGACTTATGGGTAAGTGCACCACCTTTTGCTCTTGCCGTCTCTCCTATTGCCATTGGGGATGGGGGTGAGCGCTTAATAGCGGCCGCGGCGATGACTGTTATGGATGAAGATGATGGGAGATTGCGATGGGAACCGTGCTCCGGTGTCTTTGAAACTTGTCCGGCCAGATTTCGATGGCGGTCGTATTTTTTAGTCAGTTTGGACGGATCGTGTCGGTTCGTGGGCAGTATTTTTTTGTATGGCTCGTTCCTGAGCAAATTTACGTTTCTGACGGAGATTTTCTTTTTTGTTATGACAAATTTTGTTTGCGTACACGAGTGCGTGCGAGGATGTAACTTGTGACAAATCGAATCGACGTGGCAAAGAGTTTGCTGCATTTAACGTAAATACGATGTTGTAAATGCTAATATGGATACCATAATATAACGAAACGCGAAGGAATCGTTGAAGACGAGTAAAATTGATATTGCAGAGATTGCGTTGCAATTTACGTAAATACGATATAGTTCGTGCTAGTACGGGCATCGCTTAAAATGCGAAGGAATCATTTGAGAGGAATAAAGTCGATGTCGCAATCTCGCAATTAACGTAGATGCAATAGAGTTTATGCTAACATGGAAAACATGATATAACGAAATGCGAAGGAATCGCAGGATAAATAACACCGATGTCTCAACAATTTTGCTGCAATTAACGGAAATAGAATATGATTTGTGTTAATATGGACACGACGATATAATAAATGTGAAGGAATCATTCTTAATTTTTTAAACGCCTTTTATCTTGAAAGCTTAGGTTTCGATAAACAATACAGGCAAGTGTGTCGCGTAATTTATTTATTACCATGCGAAATGGTTGAAAGGAAAGTCGCACGAATCAAGGAGCTTTCGAGTCAGCTTCTTGCTATTTTATTTTCGCATCGAGATATGAAACGTTGCGATAATCGAAAAATATTTTAGTACAGTAAATAATGAATATCGAAGGATCTTCGTCGAGACGATCGTCCGCCGCAGATATTTTAAGTACATGAACGTGGTTGGTTTTATTTGACATCGATAGAGGGAAGAATAAAAATTCTGATGGCAAACATTATCGTCTTTTACTGTGCCTTAATGAAACGCGGTGGGCTTATCGTTAATCGTACTTTGCAATGATTGTAATTAGAATTTTGTTGGTTACCAATAATCATTATAAATGGCGGAAATAATTTTTGATTACAAATAATCATTAAAGATGATGGAAATTGTTATTTCGTGACGAGAACGTTAATTCGTTACAGATAACAATTGTAATTGATGAATAACTATTATCGATGACCAGATCTTCTTGGATCGTTGCATTCCTTTTAAATTTTCTTTAACATTTAACGACGACTACCTAGCGAATTTTTAACGCAACCGCTATTTTTGTACTCTTCGCATGAAATGTCGTTTCCTTAGTATTTAACACGTTCCCTGCCAGACCGTTTTTTGAAGACTTTCCGTTCAAGCCGCGTGGGGCGTATGCGCCCCACGCTTTACATTTATATTATTTTGTTTCTGGCGTATGCTTTACAATAATTAAAATAGTGCAAAAATCATAATTATCAAGGAAAGGTTGTATAGTTTAACATGCATAACACAGCAAACCAATAAATTTATTTTTCTAGGAATTACTTTAACAAATACCTGGCTGATCATTATTATGCCAAGCAAGTTGCATCCTCACATATAATTTTTTTTATCATGCCTATATTAGTTTAAAATATAACATTTTAGTTAAATTCAAGTTTGTATGCGATTACAAAGGGATGTTACGATGAACTTTGTTAAAACATGGCAAACATAAGTGTGGTTTATCCACACAACTATCGCAGAATGTTACAACTTTTACAGTACTATA